CAAGGTTACCAGGGGGCTGCGGCACAATGAGGTGGTGGTCGAGGGGAGACGCCAAATCGTTAAAAGGGGGAATCCACTTCGGCCATCTTGGAAGGGAGGAAAGAGAAAAAAGGGAGAAAGAAAGGCGGACGGGGCGAGCTAGACGAGAGGTGGGGAGGGCGGGGGACGCAAGAAGGCCCCGCTCGAAGCTGCCCCCCTCCCACAAGGGTTTGGAAAGGAGCCTGGGCCGGCCCCCCCATCCCGATCCCTAGATGGTTAGCGGGTAAGGAGAAGGAAAGGAAGAGGAGTCCGCGTCCGCTTACCTGGGTTCGGGGTCCGGTGGGTCTCGGGGAGGGGGGGCTGGGAGGGAGGGAGGGAAGGGAGGGAAGGGGGGCAGCAGCCGTGTCGCTCGCTCGGGCGGCGGGAGGGGAGAAACCTAGCGTAAGAAAGGAGTTTGTGAAAGCAGCCAGGGGTGGGAGGGAGAGAGGGGAGGGGAGGGCACGGAGGGGGGAAGGGAGGGACGGGGCTGGGGGGGGACAAAATGGCTTTTTTTTTCCTCCAGACAAGAGTAGGTCCCGCCCACTACTCACCCACGTGACCTCATTCCTTCAGGGTGTTTGCCGAGTGGCGAAGAGGAGGGGGAGAGGCTGGCGCGGCTGTGCTCACAGCCGGTGCTGGGCGCCCCCCCAGATCCGGACACGACCCCTCCCTCCCTAAACAGCCCCACTCTGCGACCAGAGAAGGAATCCTCATCTCTGTTACCCTCAGCAGTTAACCTCACCCCCCCCAGAAAAAAAATTTGTGTGCCCCACTCCCTCCCACTGACCCTGCGATCGTCGCTGGAGCTGGAGCGCCTGGAAAATGGTAAATTAGGGACTAGGCTGCAATGTGGCTCACTCGGCAGGCCCCCACGTTTCCGCCTCGACCAAAGGGCGCTGGGCCTCCGGCAGTGGACACGACGCCTCCGGCCACGCGTGCAGGTTATTTTCATTCACTCCAAGTGACAGTCTTTTAAGATTAATAACTACACCTATAAAAGTGAGCTTGTCCTCTCCACCTCCTTTTGCCCCTCTCAGAGACCTCTGTCTAATGCACCACCCACCAGGACCTAGCCAGGGCGGCTTGGCGCTCTGGGCCCTCGTCTCTACCTGCGTGGCTCCGCAGGGGGAAAAGGGCGAGGTCCCTGCACTCTCTGGCCCGAGGGAGGGGGTTTCGAGGCAGGGACTCGGTTAGCTGTGGTGGTGGCTGGCGCCCCGGGCGTCCTCGGGCGGAGAATGGAACGCAGCCAGGGGCCGGGCGACCAGATGAAGACAGAGTGGGACACAATAATCCAGACGAAGGCGAGAGCCAGGATGGCTAAAAAACGAGGCGCGAGGACTGGAGGCTGGGCCCGCGCTTTTTCCTGCTGAGCACCGGTTCTCGCATTTTCCGCTCGCGCACCGGCGCCGGCTGGCTGTGTGCTCTACGCGCGGTGCGGGCTTGTGCGCCTCCCTCGCCGCCGCGGCAGGAGGAGCCGGGGGAGTGTCCCGGCGGCTGGTGCCAGCCGACTCCGACCGTAGCTCCCGGCTCCACCCTGCGCTAGGGCTCCGGTCCCCAGTCACTCCGGCCCGGGAAGAGAGCGATCAGGGAAGCTTGGAAAAGTCAGGAGGAGAGGTTGAGGCCAGCGCTGGTGAAGCGAATCGATACTACGTTACAGCGACGGTCCGTGGGGTTCAGGAGTGTGGTTGATTCGTTTATTCGTTATTCAAGATTTATTAGGGCTGGTCGCTGTGTCTGTCTGACCCAAGAGCTAGATTATTCGGCCAGAAGCACCATTAAGCGTTTAGGAAGAGGCTCGTTAGGAAATTAGGAATCAAAGCTAGGAAGCGTCTCCCTCCTCCTTCTCTTCCTTTCTCTTTCAGCCCAGGGGCCCCGAACTGAATGCTTTCATCCTCTGGTCGGTGACCAGGAGACCTGCGCACACTGGCCGCCAAGTGACCCCAGCTTCAGCCCACACCGGCTCAATAGGGGTGGGAAGGAAGAGGATGGGCGAGAGAGACATCCGCCCTGAGCGGGTGCTCCAAGAATTGGTAGGATGAAGGCCCAGGAGGGTCCTCTCACCTGCTCCTCCTCTGTCCCTGCAGGAGAGGGCCTAGAGTTCACTAGCCCCCAAGGGATAGGAGGTGCTTGGTGTGGACATACCCACTGTCCCCAGGGCAAGTGTGTTACTCTGTCCCCAAATCATTCTGTGAAGTGGGTAGCCAGAGTGTGGCAGTGACTCCAGGTCACAGAATAGATGGGGACCATGATAAGAAAATCTCATAGGGACTTTGGGGAAATCTCAGGCCCACCTACCATCCACACTGGGCACCCAGGGGCTGCCCTGGGGAGAGTGTCCCTCTGCATCCCTGCTACCATCTATTAATCTTGGAAGGTCACCTGATGGGGCCAGTGCTCACTGGTGGACCATCCTCTTATTCTGCAGACAGCTGTTAAGGGCCACAGAGAAGACATATGCTGAAGACCCCCACTACCCAAATTGAACTTTTAACCCGCTTTTTCAGTTCTCATTGACCGGCCCCCACAACACTGGCCTTTCTGGTTTATCAGGAGAACCTTCTGACTCAACCCTCCCCACACCTGAAGTTCTTTGGTTTTCCAGTCTTTATTCCAGTAAGTGACATAAAAGCATGTGACATGTGCCAATGTCAAACATTGTGCTAGGAGCAGGGGACATAAGGCAGATGATCTGAGCTCTGTGCACAGAGGCTTACAGGCAGGTAAGGGCAAAACCAGACCTACTGATACCCAGTGCCATGGAAACTAATGGGAAGGGCTGAGTTGCTTGTGGTTGCAACAGTGACCCTCACCTTGCTAAGGGTGGATGAGCACTGGGGAGGGGCTTCCAGAAAAGGCCTCCTTTAAGCCACATCTTGAGAAGAGTTCAGGGAGAGGGAAAGCTTGACCAGGAACTGCTTGAGAGAGCCTTTGACTGTCTATATTCTCCCCCACAAATCTGGTGTTCCTGCCTGGTGCTCTGGAATGGCCTCTGGCAGACATGCTTCCTTCTGGATTTTGTGTTAGTTGAAGTAGCTCACAGAGTCCTATAGCTGACAATTACTCATCAAAAGAATCACTATATCTGTCAGACTAGAAGCTCCCAGAGAACAAGAACCTGGGAAATCTAGATTATTATTTCCAGTCCATACCTAGTGCTGTGGAGAAGGGAAGGCCACTTAAAGATGGTAATAACGGTAACAGATGGTGGCTCCTCCATGTGCTTTTATGATTATCTTTACCTCTCTGCATGTTTGCTATGAGTTGGAACCTTCCTGATGGCACAGGATTTGGTTTTATAGGTTTTACATCTCTGTCATTTAGGTAAGTTATATAAATGATATTTATGTAAACCCTTCTCTCTCTCCCAAACAATGTCCTTTGTCAGTTTCTGCTTCTATTTCCCCATCCTCCTTACCACTTATGTGTGCACATTTCTGGGGGAAAATATTTTGTTATTGTTGTTTTTCTGATGTTCTTTGTATTAAATGGGTCTCTTTCCCTTCTCTCCATTTTTCTCTTCATTTCTCTGTGTCTCTCTGTATGCCACGGTCCTCCCTTTCTCACCTTTGTTTCTCTTCATGTCTCACTTTATCTCTGTCTTTCTCTCTCTCCTATTCTCTTCCCTGCCAGATGTAATATTTGGAATTATAACATCGATTGAGGCAGACAATGGAAAATTGTTCAGCTTCCAGTGCAAATTTATTTTTATTCTCAGGAAAAATACAACCCGAATCGTATTGCACAGTGAGACAAAAACCTCTGTCTTTGCCTTTCCTGCAATCCAGCTTAGGGATGGGGGTGGGAGGTGGGAGTGTAAGGTGGAGGGAAACGACAGAGAAATTATCCCAAATACTGACTGAACAACAACGAATTTTCAACAACGATCCTCTGATTTGCTATGTAAAAACTGTTGCTTCTGTCGTTTCAACAGAAAATTTTCGCTTCTCATCGGTTAAGAGCAAAAAGGTCAGTTTTTACTTTCCTATTAGTAGAAAGGAATAGACATATTGTCGAAAACGGAAAAACGCAGCGTCCCTGGGTGGGCTCGAACCACCAACCTTTCGGTTAACAGCCGAACGCGCTAACCGATTGCGCCACAGAGACTACGGTAGCTAAGCTGTAGCTACGAGTCAAGTCAATAGGAACGAGGCTGTGACGGCGCAGGAGCTAGTCCTAAAAAGCCCGGCTACGTGGTGAAAGCCGAACCCAGGAGAGAAGGTGGTGTGGTACTAGGGGGCGGCGGCAGTACAAGAGACGGGATGTGTACCTCTCGCCTCCATTGGCCCTGGGCAGGGTCTGCGTCAGGTACCCCCAGAATCTATCTTCAACGTGAAGAGACGCGGAACGTCCCTTTTGAGGGTGACCTGAGACCTGGGGACATGTGAAGCCGTTGGCTGGGGTTCTCGAAAAACAGAACAACCTCCAGCTTCCAAACCCATTCTTTGCAGCTGAGCACCTGTGAAATACCTGACACCCCGTGTCCTAAAATATGCATTTAATGGGAGTTTTCTACAGCCCAGCCAGTGAATAGTAGAGCCTGGCATAGTGCCTGGCACACAATAAATGCTCAATAAAGATTTCTGAAAGGAATAAACGAAAGAAGCCCGAATGAGTAATACGTCCGACCCCACACAAGTTGATCAAGCGCTACCGCGGCCCTTCCACTGGGCGAGCAACCTGCTTCCCCCTCCCTGCTCCGGAGCCAGTAAATCCTTGCTACCCCAGGCCACGTGCGGCCTAGGCCCCGCCCCTAGCTTCAGGCCGCCGGAGTCTGGGTCCGCCGCGATCCCAGCATGCACCGCGACGCAAAAGCTCTTCCGCACTTACAGTGACTTTTCACTTTCCCCTTTCCTCTCCCTCGGCTTTGGCCTCTCAACCAAACTACGTAGGACCAGTGATTGACAAGAAAGCACAGCCAACCGAAAGCCCAAATGGCCCGGAAGAGTCGACGTTTCAGCTGATGGAAAGAGAGCAGCGAGGCAGGTTGAGCCGTGAGGACTAGAGCGGGTTTACTGGAGTTGCGGCGGTGATTGGGGGTCTGTTACACCGCAATCATGGTGAGATTGGGATCGAGGAAAAGGGACACAGGGTAGGCATTGAGGAAGGAGGAGGGAGGTTTGGGAGGCGTAGAGGGCCTGGTAGTCGATGGAAGGAAGCAGCTTTGGAGGGGAGCTGACTGCGGTGGAGACCAAGGGGGTGATTGTCGGTTCTCGCCGCCACAGAGAGTAATCTCAGAGCCGGACTTCGGGGCATCCAGCTGCCTCCACAGTGGAGGAAGGGGCGTTTAGGAGCCTCCGGAGTAGGGGCTGGACCTAGGGCTATGGCCACGTCTGTCCCCTCACCCTGAGCTCCTTCGCCCCTGTCTGCCCCAGTCCATTATGTCTTATAACGGAGGGGCCGTCATGGCCATGAAGGGGAAAAACTGTGTAGCCATCGCGGCCGACAGGCGCTTCGGAATTCAGGCCCAGATGGTGACCACAGACTTCCAGAAGATCTTCCCCATGGGAGATCGCCTGTACATCGGCCTGGCGGGGCTCGCGACTGACGTCCAGACCGTGTAAGTGTTGGGATCCCTGCCCACCCCCAGGCCTTTTCCAGGACCAGCCTTGCCTGGCGTCTTGAGTGGCCTGGATGTCAGTCATCTACTCAGCACGTCCTGTATCTGAGACTTTGGCGGACAGCATAGCAATGTAAAGAAGCCCTGATGGCGCGGTGGTTAAGTGCTTCGACTGTTAACCGAAAGGTCAGCAGTTCGAACCCACTAGCTGTTCTGAAGGAGCTCTGGTAGCGTAGTTCTAAGGCACTTGACTGCTAACTAGAAGTCTGGCGGTACAAACCCATCAACCACTTCTCTGAAGGAAGGTTGGCCAATCTACTTTGGTAGTGATACTGCCTTGGAAACCCAAGGAGGGGTCACTATGAGTCGGTCTGACTCAATGGCACATAACAACAACAGCTGTTCTGAGGGAGACCGATGTATACTAACCAGCCTTACTTTGTGCCAAGTTCTGTGGAAAGCACTTTATATACATAAACTCATTTAATTGTGTTTGCAGTTTAACTATGTTACTGTCCCATTTTGCAAATGAGGATACTGAGGGATTCAGAAAGTATCTTGTTCAAGATGCAAACTGTTGAGTGTCAGAACCAGGATGCTAAGGCAGGTGTCTCTGAGGCCAAAGCCTGCCCTTAAAAGAACTTAAGATCTAGTTGAGAGACAATACAGAAATGTAACTAACCCATGTAGAGTTGATGCATATTAATTACCAGATTTGTTATCTAGTTGACAATAGTTATGTGATGGGAGAAAGAGGCTTGGAGGTGACGTTGGTAGCTATTGTGATAGCCTAGGCGTGGTAGTGGAGGAAAAGGAAAGGAGGGGGTTTCTGAGAGTTATTGCTGACAAGCCTTAGTAGCTACTAGACATTGTGGGGCGAAGGCAGTCCTTTCTTAAGGGCAGGGTCTGTGTCTTTATCGTCTTTGTATTCCTAATATGTAGAACAATAGGTGGAATACAGACTGTCCTCCGATGTCTCACAGGTGATACCTGTTGTGAACATGTTGACTGAAATGTAGGGATTGGGAGGACTAGTTTTTGGGGAAATACGATGACTTTGATTTTTGACCTGTTTTGAGGTGACAAGGCAAACCAAGTAGAACCATCTTGCAAGCAGTTAGCGTTTTGAAATTACCTCTCAGGGATGAGAGGCATTAATGATGTGTTAGTTGCATGGGAGCAGATTCTAGAGGGACAAAGTCTATAAAGGTGAAAGTAAGTTGCAGTTCAAAGCTGGACTTTACATCTCAGTTGAGGAAGAAGAGAAGCCAGAGGAGATGGTGAGGGAATAATAGGGTTTCAAGAGGGGAGATGTGGTCACAGGTGCCAAGGGCTTCCAGAAGCTGGTAATCTAAGGAGCAGCTGTCCCTGGGCTTTTTTCCTAGAAGAGCAGAGATTCACTAATGTCAGTGGCAGCTTGACTGGAAATTTTCTCTCATTTCTGTTAAAGCTCCCTAAGTCTCAAGAACATACAGCTTTGAAGGCCTTCCTGAAATCTCACCCAACCTGTTCTTTTTTCCTGTCCTAGGTGGAATCCGAGAATGACAACTTAGGGTTCCCTCGAGTGTGAAGGAAGGCCCCATCAGCTTTGCTCTCTCTAGCCTGCTGTTCTTCTCACACCATTTTCTTTTCTTCAGGAGGCTTTCCTCAATGTGTTTGCTTGTTTGTGGACAATAATGGCTAGTTTCTCTCTGCCTCAGTTTCCTCACCTGTATGATGAAGCTAAAGTCGTATTATCTAGGCTCTTTCTAGGTCTAGCGTCCTGTGGCTTGTAGCTTTGCCTCTGGCAAGTATGGCTGTGGTCTGCTCTGTGCAGGGGTCTATCCTGGGGCTCTGAGATGGTGCTGGAGGAGGGAGGGGTGTGGACCTTTTTCGTGGGCACCTTCCAGTCCCTTTGTGCAGCAGGTGCTCCCTTTTAACATGCACAGGACTTAGGAGGTTTTCAAGCACCTTGTCCTATACCCATGCATTATCTCATCGCCAGGGGTATTTATTTGGCCCATCTTCTCATGGATGGAAAAGTTAAGTGGGAAGATGAAGGCTTAGGCTAGGTCTGTGCTGTCTTATCTACTGCTCTTTTCCACTATAAATTTTCTATGACTTTATATCTGTAGGCACACACCCTAGAAAAGTGTGGAAGGAGCTGTGCATTTTATTGTAGATAAATTATACCTCAAAAAAGAGGGAAAATCCATTTCCTGTTCCTGCTTCTCGTCAAAAAAAGTATGGAGAGAAAGGTTAGTACAGTAGCATGTTTACAGGTGATAAATGTTGGGACAAGGAGTCCTGAACATGGAAGTGAGGCTGGGCTTCTGGTGAGAAACACAGAGGAGAAGAGAGGAGGCTTGGCAGGTATTAGGATTCTTTGTCTCCCTTCCCTCCTGACTTCCACAGGGTGGGTGTTAGGGGACATTTGGCAATGACTTACTTCTTCACCTTCTCCTCCCACCACAGTGCGCAGCGCCTCAAGTTCCGGCTGAACCTGTATGAGCTGAAGGAAGGTCGGCAGATCAGGCCTTACACTCTCATGAGCATGGTGGCCAACCTACTGTATGAGAAACGGTGAGTGAAGTGTCGTCCAGGACTCTGGGAACCCAGAAGTCTGTGACTGGGGGCAAAGTAGGCCTTTGGTGTTGGCAAGGGATAGGAGGGGACAGTGTTCCTTTTCTCCCGTTTCTTATTTGCAGGATGATATCCTTATTTTCTGGGCCTATCTGACACCGAAATAGGAAAGAAAAGGATTGCTTCAAAAGAAGGCAGGGAGCACAAATGGGATGTGAACTTGCCCTTACTCCAGTACTTGGTTCTGTGGCATAGCAGGGAGCCTAAGAATCGGTTATGTTTCTTTTTGAGAGTTCTGTTTGAGGACTTTACAAAGCGAAAAGCAGAGATCTTATTATTTGTAGAATTCAGTGCAGAGGATAGGTTGGAATTGAATAAAGAACCCTATATATACTCTCTGTTCACCTCTGGACAAAAGCTGGTGGCAGGATTACAAACTAAGTTCTTTTTCTTTTCTTTTTTTTTTTATTAGGATTTGGGTGAAGATTTACAGAGTAAATTCACTTTTCATACAGCAGTTCACATATACTTTGTCTCATGTCATTGACCAAAATTTACAATGCAGCAGCTCCCCTCCCACTTCCTCCCCATAGTTACCTCCTCCCAGTGTCCATCCCTTCATACTCTTCGAGAGGCCCATTTTCTGCCAACCCTGTATATGATCTTGGATACACTCTCCATTTAGACATACATAATTGTTTAGCTTGTTCACCCATCTATCCGTCCCTATACCCATATTTGCTTTCATTAACAACTCAGTATTGTATTTACAAAGGGGTTCATATTTGTTGTTTGTAATGCCCATGTAACTAAAAAAAAAAAAACTTTTTTAATTCTGAAATGATGTTAGATGTACAGAAAGGTTGCAAAAATATTCTTTAGCTAATTGAAAATAAAAAGTCCTTGCCATCTCCCTTCCTGGAGCCATTTTATTGTCTCTTTAGTATCAAAAAGTTAAAAACAAAGTAAGGATTACCTATCCTTTAAATATTAGTTAATACCCTCAGCTGTGAATTATCTGCCTGTCACACATAAGTGGCAGCCACTTTTACCAAAAATGCCAATTGATTTATATGGAAGGGGATAAAAAGAGTCTTAGAAAGTTGTAAAACTTAACTTATATTTAGTTATGTATTGAATGGCTCATATTTGTTGAAAAGAATAAAAGCGTGGGACATTGAAGCTGACCTGGAAAATCCTGGATTCATAACTGCTATAGCCAGGAGCTTCCTCCACAGCCCAGCTGAGATAATCAGTTTTCCAGCAGGATAGGCTGAGGCAGTGATCTGCGAACTTGAGTAATGTGCAGACCCTTTATACAGGGCAAAACTCCCCAAAGACCCCAGAAATCTGCTGAGGCCCCTCTGTTTGTGAAGCACTGCTATTCAGCTCTGACCTTCAGGTGACACTTTTGCAGTATAATTGGCAGTGTAGGTGCAGCTCCTGAACCAGGTCATAATGTTCCATTTTAAGGTTAATATTCGAAGAATCCAGGATGTTTTTATATTAACTTTGTTTAGTTTATTGAGAGGAAACATCCAGAATTATACATTTCTCATAGAAATTCATACCCAGGGGTCTGTTTGAGAAACAGTGGATCGAGGCATCCTTTCCTAATCCCTTATTTCACCTTTGGGTCTTTTTCTTTATCTTTTTTTTTACAGAGTTGTAACTTCAGGTCACATCCTTAGGAATTTCTGAGGTTGCTATGAGACATTACATATGGATGTTGATGTTGTTAAGTGCCATCAAGTTGATTGTGACTCAGCAAGTCCATGTGACAGACTAGAACTGTCCCATAGGGTTTTTTCTTGGCTATAATCTTCACAGAAGCAGGTCACCAGGTCTCATGCATGGAGCTGCTGGGTGGGTTCGAACTGCCAACCTTTTGATTAGCAACTGAGCACTTAACTGTTTGCACCACCAGGGCTCCTTAGCATATGGATAATGCCTCTTTATTTTTTGTTTCTATTGAGGATATTGGCCATTAGTTATTGAGTATTTTGTACAAAAATATCCTAAAGGTCGATCCTTTTTAAAGCTCAGGTCTAGAACAAGTTTCTGATGAACTGCTGTTTTCTTGTGATCAGCAGTGAAAATAACCCAGTCCACGGACTCTTTTTTACTTTTCTCTGCCAGGAGGTGCAAAACAAAATCATGTCTTCACTTACATATCTTGTATTCTGTTTTATTGATTTAGTTTTATTTAGCAGTATTTTTCCTACAAGCTGCTTCAAATCCTTTTTTGAAAGGGATTAGGGCTACAGATGTACAAATGTAGGACCTTGTATTAGGATGGGAATAATTAGAAGAAAGCAGAATTCCCAAAGAAAGGAGGAGAGAGGATCAGATGAGAAGGATATGAAGGTAGGTGTCAAAGAGAAGACGATAACAAGGTCTTAGAGCATTACCAGATGCCAGGAGAGAGGGAAGGGGTTCAGCAAAGCTGGCCACAGGGCAAGGTGTTCTTCCCAAGCAGGCTCTTTCTTCCTCCCCATGTCTGGACTGGGGCCTTGTCTGAGTAGGCTTGAACATGGAGGTCATTGTTTTCGGGTTCTGGCTACCATCTCTGATCCTGGCCCCACAGGTTTGGCCCCTACTACACTGAGCCCGTCATTGCTGGGTTGGACCCGAAGACCTTTAAGCCGTTCATTTGCTCTCTGGACCTCATAGGCTGCCCCATGGTGACTGACGACTTTGTGGTCAGTGGCACCTGTGCTGAACAGATGTATGGGATGTGTGAGTCCCTCTGGGAGCCCAACATGGTGAGTTGGTAGCATGGGGCAGGGTGGGACTCTGAGGTACCCACTTCTTGGCCATCAGAAAAAAATATGTTTGCATGGCAGGGAATGGGGCAGGTGGTGCAAGTAGGTGAGAAAGCCACAGCTGTTTATACTTGAGTGTCCGTCCAGAAACACCACTGTCTGTCCAGGGCCTTGGTGCTGGCTGGCTGGCTCCAGAGGAGAACACCTTCTGTTAGGAGGCCCCAGTCAGGTATTGGCTAAAACAACAAATAATTCCTCACATCGGGTATACAGAGTTCTCACCTCCATTCACGGAACAAACATTTAACAAGGCGGCACAACCAGCTGAGCTCTGGAGCCAGATCGGCTTGCAAACCTGGATCCACTGGCCACTGTATAGTTAGGTTCTTAGGTAAGTCACTTTACCTCTCTGTGCCTCAGCTACCTCAGCTGTAAGATGGGGATAATAATAGAACTTACCTTGTAAGTGTTGTGAGGGAAACACATGAAAAGAGGTTAGAACAGTGCCTGGTGGTGAAGGTTGGCCAATATTACTGAGTGCCACTTTGCCAGGCTCTGGGAAACCAGTACAGGCTCTGTCTTCAAGGAGCTTACTGCAGCCTGATGAAGCAAGACAGATACCCAAATACCTGTTAAAATGGCAGTTTTCCAGGAAGAAGAGAGGAGAGGGGGCCTTATTGGTAGAAGGACAGCCTGTACAAAAAGGTACATGGGTGGCCTGGTGTGTTCAGTGAGTGGGGAGAGCTCCATGTGGCTGGGGGGCTGGGGAGTGTGGGGTGAGATGGAAACTGAGATTGGGATGAGACTTCAAAAGGCCTTAAGTGCCATGCCACGGAGTTTAGACTTTTTTCTTTAGGCATGGTGCCAAAGGCCATAAGGAACCATGGGAACCAGAGGCCTGCAGGTAGATGAGACAGACTATTGTAGTCACCTGCAGGAGGCGCTGAAGTCCTGAACAAAGATAGTGGAAATGGGGAGTTAACAGGAGCGAGGGCAGTGCAATACTGAAAAGGGTCAGGTTTTCTATCTAACAGGTTGGGGGCAAAACAGGCTCATAGTTGGACAGGTTGAATTAGAGGTACCTGGGGGACATCCCAGGGTAGAGTGGAACTGATAGAGCACATGGGAACCAAATAGGGAGTCATCTTCTTATTTTACTGAAGAGGAACTGAGGCTTAGTGAAGAGGCATGTCACTCACCTGAGGTCATACTGTTGGTTAGTGGAAGAAATTTGAGGCTTGAAATCTTCTGAGTCTTTTTTACTTTCCCTTACATAAATAACCCTGACTCCTTCCAAGGAAGGAGCTGAAGGGGGTTCCACATCCAGGGAACCATCCCTCACTTGAAGCCCCAAAGGGCCTGCACCTAGAAAAAAAGGAGTTCCAGAGCCAGCCCGAGTTAGGGTCCTGAGGGCCTGGCATTTGAAAGGGTTCTACTCTGTTGGCAGGATCCAGAACACTTATTTGAAACCATCTCCCAAGCCATGCTGAATGCGGTGGATCGGGATGCTGTGTCTGGGATGGGAGTCATTGTCCACATCATGTGAGTATTAGTTGGCAGAGGTCTAGAACATCTCCCCTCACAAACACCAGCCTTCCCAGCCTGCCGGGCAGGTGTGAAAGAAGTAAGGCACTTTTGGCAATCATAGGGTAGAGAAACCCATGTTTTCCTAAGGTAGCAGCTGGGAGCCTAGCAGGCTGGCTGCACATCTCCTGGCCTCTGGCTGATGAACCTCCACGACCCAAAGTCTTCTCTTTTTTGGTGTTAGCACCTATGGTCTATTGCAGTTTCAACCAGCAGCCAACATTTTAGAACTGGTCTGCTAATATTTTTCTTCTCTGTTGTGGTTTGCGTGAATGTTTACAGAGCAAATTAGTCTCCACTCGACAGTTTGTACACATTTTGTTTCATGACGATCACTGGAGATCCTCTCAGTGTAGAGCAGCACTCTTCTCACTTATTCTCTGGATTCTCTGTCCCCAGTCCTCATTCTGTCTTGTCCCTTCCTGCCTTCTGGGCTGAGTCTCCTCTTGCTGACAGTTGGTATTTCTTTCCTTCCTTAACCATGTCCCCAAAGTTTCAGATCTGTGTGGGAATGAGCCATGGCAGAGCTGCCTCAGATTTAAAATCTAGGCATGTCCCCATGCTCTCCCCCAGATCCTACCAGTCTGGAACCCAGAACTGTGTGATATACTGAGCTCTTGGAACTATTCCCCAGCCAGCCCTAAGTGCCACCTGCCCACCCCATACTTGTTGGGAGCTGTCATCAGGGACCTGATGGGATAAAGTAGAAAGTGACCGTCTGCCTGCTTTCCTTGGGGACATCCCAGAATAAGCATTTTTGTTACTGAGCAGCCTGGTTAATTACCATGGTAATGAGATTGATGCTGACATTTACCACCCAAGTCTTTGTGTGTATTGTCCTCACACCTTCTTTATTGCTCTGTAGGCCTGAGGAGCTCCTTCCCTTCTTTGGGGGGCTTCTCAGTCCAGGCCTGTATCATCTCTACTCTTAAAGGTTCCCCATCTAGGAAAACCTTCACTAGAATCTTCCCATTTCTCCATGCTGGTGTGCCACCCCCATCTCCCTCAGCACAGGCTGAGGGAATAGCAGTATTAACGCAACATGAGTAAAGCAAGTTACACCAGAGCAAGCAGGACAGCTGTGTGGCATTTCCTTTCCTAGAACAGGTGTGGACTTGAGGTGCTGGTGCCCGGGGCTGGGAGAGGGCAGCAGTTAAGCTAGCTATAGAGGTTTTCTTGGGACTTTCTCCCTCTGCAGTGAGAAGGACAAAATCACCACCAGGACACTGAAGGCCCGGATGGACTAACCCTCTCTTCTTCCTGCACCCCCATGCCCATTTCTTTTTTTTTTTTTTTTAATAAAATGTTTTTCTTTCACTATTGCCTGGTGCTGGTCTTTGATAGTTATACCACAGATCTTTGTCCCCAGCTGGGCAGTTACAAATAGCTGCTCAAGGCTTTGCATGCTCCTTGGGTTTTCTTTTTGGTGTACCAGTGGGCACAATCTACCAGTCACTTGTTGGATGCCTGCTACTGCTAGGTTATGCACAAAGTGCATGACACATACTAGAATTTAATCATCATCATGACTCAAGGTCATCAGCATTCTCCTTGTTTGCAGATGTGAAAAGGGAGGGTGTAGAATAACTTGCCCTGGTCCGTTACAGTAAGTGGTAGAATAAGGATCTAAATCTCTGGTCCATTTGACTCCAAGGCCTAGAATGCTTTTTACTGAGCTGTACCAGAAAACCCTTAAGTCTCTTTATAGTTCAGGGAGGATTTGACCAAGTACTCTTAAGTTTTTTCCTTTAATCAGTTTCTTAACAGTGGCTTACACACTGGAGACACCTGGGGAAGTTTCCACTGATGCCTTGATCCTGTTCTTTGAGAGTCCCACCTAATTGGCCTGTAAGTGGCCTGGCTATGTCTTTTCTAAAGGTCAGGAGATGACTGCAACCTGCATTCTGGGAAGTGTGCATTATCCTAGTGGTTCTCCTATGTGTATTAGCCTTCAGAATCACCTGGACGGTTTGTTGAACCCTCCATAGCTTCAGATTCAGTAGATGGGGGGGACCTGAAAATCTGCATTTCTAAATGGTTCTCAGGTGCCAGTGACACTGCTGGTCTAGACCACACTTTGAGAACCACTCGCTTTTAAGCCAGGAGTTCTGGTAGCATAGTGCCTAAGGCATCTGACTGCTAACCAGAAGTCTGGCGGTTCAAACCCACCAACTATTCCTCGTAAGGAAGGTTGGGCAATCTACTCCTGTAGTGATACTGCTTCGGAAATCCAAGGAGGGGTCGCTGTGAGTTGGGTCCTACCCGATGGCACACAACAGGTTTTAAGCCAAACACTATTTAAGAGTCCAGATGGAGAACCTGAAATACATAGGGGTGACTTGTTCAAAGTCAACTCCATGGCTAGTCATTGGGAGAGCTGGGACTTGAAGTCGAGTGTCTGACTCGTAGCCAGCATTCATTCCTCACCTGGGGGAGTGCATCTGAAAGTGGGATGTCACTGACCACATTCTTTCTTTTAACAAGCCATACACTGCTTTAGCCCAAGCTGTCTCTGCAGAACTGGGACCAAAACCTTTTCATTCTGAAAAAAACAAAGGCTTTTTTCCAAAGGACTCGCATAGAGCAGATGTACACAAAGCTTTTTGAATTTTATTTTTTCCTCAAGTTGGAGATTCATCTTAACAGGCATGCATTTTAAAACAGTAACAGGGTCTCGAACTGTTTCGAGCAGACATTAGACAAGCACAAAGGGTTGAAAATTCCTATTTAAAAAATGGAAATTGCAAAGTCACACACATATGGTGGGGTGGTGGTTTATCTGGCTCCCCCAAAAGTTGAGTCTGAACTTCATTCACATTTTTGATTGCAATGATCCGACCTGCTGGGTTTGTGCTGAACAGCACCGGGCCTCCCCTAAAGGTTGTTAGCTCCCACCTCCTCACAAAATGGCTCTGAGCAAGGGGAAGGGATCCTCTAGAAGTTTCATCCCAAGCCTTCCTAGGATCTCAACACAGCCTGCTGATGGACATCTAGTCTCCCCTTCCCCTTGGGGCCACTGTTCATAAGTGGTGAATCTCAGAGGAGGGCTTGGGCTATGTCACTGCTCCCTGCAGGATGGCTGGTAGACTTGGGGGCAAGTGTCTGAGTGCTGTTTTCCCTTTAATCCTGTGCTCAGGCCGGACCTATCTCCCTACATTACTGCCAGAAAGAGGTGAGGTCTCTTGATTTGGGAGGAGCCACAGGTCTAAGGCCAGGGCTCCAAGGATGGTTTAAATGCGCTGTCCCTTCTAGCCCCAGACATTTGAGTAGCTCAAGTGCTGGGGGCAGGGGTGTGGGGAGGTGCTCAAGTTTTTTTTTTCCCCTCTTCCAACTTGAATTGGTAAAAAGACAATTGGGGGGTGGGATTGGCTACCGACAGAGTCTTGGGTCTTTGGTCCACCTCCCCAGGGCAGGCCCTGGCAGACTGTGAAGAGGGGAAAGTAACTAGGGCAGGAATCTAGTCTCTTGCCCTGAACACTACCAGGGACCTGTTCGAGGCCTAAAGCACAGGTGAGAAAGTGAAGCAGGAAGAGGGAGAAGAGCTGCCTGTGGTGGGAACTTAAAAGTGTCACTGAGAACAGCCACAGGGGCAACTTGTGGCACCTGCCACAGATCAGCAACCCCTGAGCTAGGTAAGGAGAGAATGAGCACTGCTTCACTATGTGCTCCTGGAACTGCTGGCTTCCAGCACACCCTGTAACCCCCAACCACCGGGCACAGAGGAGGAGCATGCATTGGGGAACAGACTCAGTGGTTAACAGGAAGAAGGGCCAGAGGCCTTCATCTAGTGGTCTTCTGAGTAGTCTTCAGAGAATGCCTCACTTTGGCTGGGAGACTATGGTTTCCTCAACTAGATTTTCGGAGAGGGAGAGGAACAGGGGAGTCATGAGTAGACACTGTTATTCCTTGGGTGGTAGAGTGAGGAAAGGGGAGAGAAAGCCTGCTCGTACCCCCGTCCTGGCCTCACCCAATCAGCCACATCCTATTATTATGCTTTAGTTCTTGGGAGAACCCATATGATTCTGGGGTGCTCTAAGACTCTTAGTTGTTCTTCATGGCCCCAGGAGTGAGGATGAGAATAGCTACTTGCCCTCACAGGCATTTTACAGGAAGGGAATAGTGGGACAATTAAGGAGAAAAGACTGGCAGAGACAAAACCCTGGGGTTTTTAAGTTCACTTTCTCTACATTCAGATTGCAAACAAAATAGATTATCTTCATCATTGTAAATAGAAAAAAAGAACTTGTATAAACGAAGATAAACAGCTTCTGAACATCTGAATGCCAAAGGAATCAGAGAGCCAAACCCACGGTTTTAAAGATCGCAGAGAGTGAAAAAGAAAAGGTAAATGACCTTTAAAAATAAAATTGACTAAGCCATAGCTCAAATGTTTTGACCCAATCAACAACACTGTTGGAAAAAACAAAAACAGCATCTGAAACAGAATGTTACCTCTCAAAAATGTAAACAATATACAAAAGAGAAAAAAAAACCCTCTATGTTAAACAAGTTAGATACCTGTAGTTGTCTTAAATGGTAAGATTGTGTTACACTTTTCATACACATTATGGCAACATGATTAGCAGACCGAACACAGAGAACTGGGTGGAAGCTCAGGGCTATGGATACTGCTGGAGGGCAGCCTTCCAAGCCTTGGAGATGCTGAGCCTGACTGGGAGCAGACCCAAATTTTCACTCTTGATTATGAGGTGGGGAAATCATGTCCAAAGAGTATTCCTACGCAATCCGCTTCCTAAGTTGAATTTGTCTTCTCCATGATCCACTTGGTTCCAGGTTCTTCCCTAAGTCACTTAGTGGTCTTGCTGCAGATGTCCACAGCTTCTTACAGCCCTTCATAGGGCCAGGGCACTGGTTTGACCCCATCTGCCTCTTCCAGAAGGGTTTCCAACCCATCTGGCAGCCCTGGTGAAGTCCAAGAATGCTGTCTCCATTCCTTCCTGACCTAAATGCTGTGGGAAGGCTCCCAAAGATAGGGCACAGGGACAGTCTGGGTTCCTGCTCCAGAAGTTAAGCTTGGCCAGGTTTGGAAGGAGCCATAGGAAACCAGTTCAGTCTCAAAATGATTCCACAAACCATCTTCACCCTCTTTGGGGTATCTACAAGTTTTACAGTATCTCACCCAAAACCCCCAGTTCCTGGCAAGGGGTGAGAAGATGCAGGAATGTAGCTCCCCCAACATAGAGCACCAGGGCCTTTGTCTTTCCTCACCAGACCAGACTGCTCTGACGACAACACAGAACGACACACACAGCTCAATTCTGAGGGCCCAGGCAGCAGGCTGTGAAGGTGGCTGCAAACCCCAAAGGAACCTGCAGGATCCACTCAGGCTATCCTGAGGCAGCCAGTGGGTAGCAGACCTGTTCAAAGTCTGGGGCCAAGTCAAAGCCCACATCAAGCCTTCAAATTGGATTTTTTGTGTCACATCTCAAGGGACTCAAGCAACTTCAGGCTTGGGAGCCACACTCCCCCAAGGAGAAGGGGCACGACTCCTTGCTGGCTGACCTCAGGAATTCCAGGACTCTTAACCATCCAGACGACAAACCACAGGCACAGGGAGACAGATTACTTATGTGGTAGCTATGGGGCTTGAAGAGGTATCTCTGCAAAGGGCACTCTGTGTGCTCAGAGATCTGCCCCTGCTAAGAACTCACTTATGAGTGAGGGTGCCTGGAAGGAGGTCAGAAGGAAGTAAATGGATGGGAGGGAACAGGCCTCATTGATGCCCATCAGCTTCTGGGATTTTCCCAAGGGAAAATAATCATTAAAACGGAAGGGTCCTGTTATATCCAAGGTGCTTTCTACTTCCTCTTGGCCCAATGAGAGGCCAGCTTTTGAGAGAGGACATCTGAACTCTAGTGGCCACAAGAGCCCAGGGTCTTAGGTGATGATCATGGGGTTCTCTGAGAGCCAGCTGTCTGAGCACTAGCAGCTCCCCCCAGTCCTTTTCTGTCCCATGAGGGTGAACTTGGTCTGCTCTAAGATCTCTGATGTCTGATCCAAGATGTTGACCTAGAGTGTTCATTCCTTCAAGAGGTGAGTATTTAGATGGAGGAATAACGTAACATTTCAGTTGTATCCAAGGTGGAAAGGTGGAGGAAGCTGTGCACAATACTCCATAAAACTAAGAAGTGAATCCAGGCGAGATCAAATGCAGCAAGGCTGAGATGTCTGGCCTCCTCTCCTCTCGTGTCAGAGAGAGCTTTGCTCTGAGAGGACCCTTGGCGCTGGATCTGTGGGGCACCTCTTTAATTGACAGGAACTGAGAGCTGGGCAGAGGGGAGAGTGTATAGGGTTGATGACATACATTATTATAAATAGCAAACCTGGAGCAACAAAATTTCAGAAACAAAACCCAAGCAAACCCACAAAACCATCTCTAGCCCTAAGGTATTTTAGTAACAGAAAGGGAACCCCTTATTAACCTGGGTCAAATGGGAAAAAATATCAAGGATGAGCAGAAGTTGAGGTTATATCCTGTGAGCATGTGCACACACAGCATACCCCCTCCCCAAAACGAGTCTTTCAGTGTCTTAGGCTGCAGCCCCCTGGCTAGAGCCCTCCCCTTCTCCCCACTCTGGCTCCCCACCCTCTCATCTAGCCCAAATACACCCTCTCCCAATTGCCGACCCCACATCCAGCTCTCTGGCTGTGGCTGAAGTTAGAAGATAACTACGTCAGGATGTTGGACATGAACTCGTTGAAGCGTTTGGAGTACTGCTCAGGGTTCACAGTTGAGATCTCAGCTCCCGCCTGTAACACACAAAAGACTGACTCAGGTCAAGTTCCTTGGCCCCAATCAGGAAACATCTGATAGGAGCCTGGGTACTTGCCACCCAGTATTGGCATAAGAAGGTTGGTGGTTCAAATCCACCAGCCGCTCTGCAGAAGAAAGACGAGGCAATCTACTTCTGTAAAGATTTACCACCTTGAAAACACAACAGGGTAACTATGAGTGAGCATTGACTTGATGGCAGTGAGTTTGGGTTTTTATTTATTTATTTACTGGCATAAGAAGGAGCTCTGGTGGTGCACTGGTTAAAGCATTCGTCTGCTAACCAAAACATCAATGGTTTGAACCCATCAGCCACTCTGTAGAAGAAACATGAGGCAGTCTGCTTCTATAAAGATTTATAGCCTTGGAAACTCAATGGGGGTCGCTATGAGGTAGAATCGACTCAAGGGCAGAGAGTTTTGTTGGTCTGTTTTTTTTAATTGCCATAAGAACTGGATGCTACTCTCCAGACTGAGCAGGCCACTTCGGGAGATAGTTCACATGTCTCAGATTTGCTCTGGCCTCACTCGCCTGATTCACAACTGCAGGCCCAAGGCCACAGAAATAGGAAAGAGACAGTGGGGGAGGTAGGGGAGGCTCTGGATCTCTGTGGGAGCCCTGTTTGAAGAACTGCAGACTGAAGTCCATGGGGAAACAGGCCTATGGGGAACAGTCTGGGCAGGTAAACAAAGCTACTATCTGCTGCTCAACAAGATGCACAACATGCCTGGCAACCCTGGGGGAGAGGAGCTGGCGGGTTCAGGGCCCCCAGGGCCAAGAACTGGGGGAAAAACAAGTTGGGGATGTCAGCAGCTGGGCAGGGAGGGGGTGGGGTGTAGGCGGCAGAGAACACGAGGCAGCACAGGCAGCTGCCCTTCCCCATCCCCGTCTCGGGTAGGAGGGGTGAGGGGAGGGTCTTCTTAGCACAGGAGACCTGGGCCACCCTCCCGGAGGGGCTGAGGTGAGCACAGGAGCTCAGACACCACCCAGCTGGGCCGTGCCTAAAGACAGAGCTCACCCCATGTTTCACGGTTTTGGCAGCATGTGCAGCTTTCTTCTTAGCATCATATGGCGTGAGGATATCAATGATGGCCATGAAATAGACCTCCTTCTTGGGGGCACCTGGAGCAGGACAGGGAGCAAAAGAGTGTGAATAGGTGCCAGGGAGAAGAACAGAAAGTAGTGTGGGTCACACCCATAACCCCTCAGATATGAGATCTGTATCTGTTCCTGTAATTCTGGATCTGAGAAAAGAAATAACCCCCTTCTCAGATGCTTTCATAGCTCTTATCTTATTTGATCTTCATAGCCACCCTATGGGGTAGACATGACAGCACTTACAAGGTTTTATCCCTCCCATAAACCACAGAAGTACCAGGCCTCATCATCTAAGATGGGCAGAGAAGGGAAGAAACCTCAGAATAGAGAGTTATTGGGGGGACCCAATAAGGGAGCCTGGACGTAGAAAGAGACCAAAGTCAGCCATGACGCAGGTAGAGGCCAGACACCCACAGGCACCATTTCAACAATGGGCCTGAAGGAGGTAGGATGGGGGTTGGGGTGGATACAGGGTACAGGCTTCTACTTACTTTCATGGCTCTTCATGGCATAGACATCAACAGAGGGGTCGAATTCCCCAGGGCCAAAGAACCGAGGGAAGCTGAGGAGGTTGCCAGGGCTATCTGGAGGTGTGCCATAGGAGCAGAGCAAGTTGCCCCCCATCCCGTCATTGTCACACTCCTCGTCCTCTGCCCGCTCCTCTACTTCCATCTCTTCCTGCTCTGCCCGGTCCACGTCATGAATGCCCACCAGCAGGCTATAGTCCATTATCTTCAGCTGGGCCAGGAACTGGGGTGGGATTGGAGGAGGGAGGAAAGATGAAAAGAAGTCATGGGACAGCTGAGTGGCACCTGGAAAGAGGGAAAGCCCATTCCTTTCCACTCAATTCTACACATAGTTCTGAGATCCAACAGACAATAAGACATCAGAGTCTCTGTCCTCATTGAGCTCAGTGTCCAGTGGGGAAGACAGTTTTTCAACAAGGGCAAGAAACTATGGGGGATGACAAGAGGGAAGGTTTCCCTGACGAAAGGAGTTGAGAAGGATGAGGATGAGAAAGAAGCCAGTCAGGCAAAGGCTGCAAGAGTAGAAGCAGAAAAAGCACAGCAGGAAGACAGAGCAGCCCATAATGGTCTGGGATCAAGAGAAGCCATGGTGACTTTGAAGAAACCAATAATGGAGTGTTCCATTGCAGAAGAGGCTAGAGAAATGGATGCAATCTATCAGGGTATTTCAAAAATAAATCTCAACCCGGTATGAGTCCTAAACCCAACTGAGTAGGCTGGGACTAGGACTTTTTTATTATTAAAGATGACAGAATAAAATAGAAAACATTAGAGTGTACCACATGAAGTAAGGGTAGAGAGTGTTTCCCTCGTGTATATTAGGTTGCAAGGTAAAATGTACTTCTTACCAGGGGTCACAAAGTTTGCAATTGAAAAAGTATGCAATTCAGCTTACTTATCAATCAGGGTAAAGATAAGAGGAAAAAGAACACACCACATAAAAGTGGCAACCAGAGCCAACCAACTTTCTCAAGCCCATCCCTAAAGGTCAAAAGAGGCTATGTGGTCCAGGGGAAGAAAGCTGGACCCCTCCAAGGACCATGTGACTTCCCCCAGCTGAGCCAAAGCTTTCTCATCCATAGAGTGAAGGCTGGGAACAGAGTCTCAGGTCCCTTCCTCTAGGTTTTCATAACTTGGAAGAGAACAGGGTGTGGGAATGATACTGGATAGGAATGATCAACCTGCATGTCAGCTTAAGTAAGGTCAAAGCACTGGTCCAAATTCTCTTGTGAACCAGCCAGCCAGCCACCACTGGCCACATACCAGGCATCAGCCTTCATCACCAACTAACCCTGTAGTACCAGGGAACTGCTGGACTAACCACTGTGACTAGGGGATAAAGTATAATAGGACCAGAGTAGCTCTATGTGTAAGTCCAGAAAACAACTGAAAGCATAAGCCTTCATGACAGGAGATCAGCAGAACCTCCTCGGCAGAGAAAGGGTGGGAGGGGCCCTTCTGGATGAGGCTCTGAAGGCCTAGGGAGAAGGGGCTGGGGTCCCAGAAGAGAGAGCAGCCATGAACCACACCTCCTCCTCTTTACCTGAGAACATTTACAAATTAATATGCAAGTGAAAACAAAGGAATTGAATAACTGCCATAAATTCTTCTGAAAACCAGAGTAAGGAGAGAGGGAGAAAATGCAGGAGGAGAAAGACTTAAGACAAACTGAATGCCAGAGTATGGAAGACAGAATAAAGGCGTGACACAGGTGAGTATGACTAAAGAAAAGCTTCCCAGCAAAAAGAAGTTTGTAGGGTTTGATAGTCAGTGAGCAGACACCAATTTACTAAAACAGGAGGAGACAGAGTTATCAGATGATCCAGACAACGTAGTCACTGTTCAGCATGTGTCCCCTGAAGGAGCAGGAAGTCCCATTACAACCAGAAGATTGCTGGGGAAGTGATGCATCAGAGCCAGAGAAGGGCCTGGTTAGCTGATCTTCCAGGCTGCTGTCCTGTCTCTCCGATGGTCTGACGCCTCCCACACTGCAGGGACACCACTAGAAGGTGAGTGTGGTGCAGTGAATTACTTAATACGGCTCTTCTAGCTACGGTCTTTGTGACTCCCACAGATAACTGGGTGGAACTGTGCAGATGTAAGGGGCTTGTGGCCCACCACGGGAATTGTACAGCTTGTTAATAATGTATATAAGGTACATGGCACCCTTGTGGAGGCGGGACTGTACTAGTAAGGTGTATGGAACCCTAACATGGGGATGGGTCCGTTTTGCTTAAAATGAGCCACCTCAGAGGCAGAAAGGGGGGAATCTCACTACCATCAAGAAAGAAAAGCATGTCCTTTGGATCCAAGATCCCTGTGCTGAATTTCCTTGACTCAGGAGACATCAAGAGCTGTAATGCTTTTGTGAGCCAGCGAGCAGAGCAGTAGAGAATAGGGCAGCAGAGGCAGCAGAACCAAAAGACTGGCTTGAGACAAAGCAAGGGGCTTCCTGAGAAAGCCGAGTGCCGCTGGGCAGACTTGCTGGCGGAGTCGGGTACCTCTCTGGGCACCTATCAGCAGACTTAAAAGAGCTCTGCTCTTCTACACTTCCCTGAGTAGGGACAGAGGTCGAGGCCGGAGAGAAGCGTGCATGTGGCATGACTGGGAAGAGGCTGTTCTGATGGAAGAACTGTATCCTGAGTCACTTCCGATCCTAAATTACAACCTATTACTTTACTAAGGAATCCCGTAATTGTGACTAGAGCCTGTGAGTTCTGTGTGGACACTAAATGAATTATCAAACCCAGCAGAGAAGCAGAGTGCCATGGGAGAGACAGCTGATATCAGAATTGGTAGAAAAGTTGGAGGGTGGCAGCCTGTCTGATGTCTGTGTCAGGAATCAGCCTTGGGCTGTTGATGCTGATGGTGATTCTCTGTCCCCCTCTGTGAGGTTAGAGGTCACACAACATCACCCTCATGCCTTTTTTCAGTGAGTTAGGAGGGAAGTTTTAAGATTTGGGGATGGTTTAGTAAAGAAGCAAAGAGAAAGTTCTCCAAATTGAGTTACAAAGGCTCTACTGGCACAAACTGTGAAACGGGATGCTCATTTGGACTAGCTAAGTACTCCTACTGCCCAGATCACAACCCTTCCTTTTATCCACACAACTAAGATATAACAGAGTGTCCTTAGGGAACTCTCCTCCTTCTAGAAGGAGAGACAGATATTAAGTAGTAGTTACACGGTTAATTCATTACAGTGGTGGTAAGCGTTACGAAGGAGTACCTGCGTGGTACAAATGGTTCACTTGCTAGGCTGTGAACCAAAAGGATGGAGGTTCGAGTGCACTCAAAGGTGCCTTGGAAGAAAGCAGTGAATTCAATTTTTCTTAAAGGGGCTCTTTCTCAGAGTACAACAGGGGCCCCTGCCGACCAAGGTGAAAATGAGGCTTAGTTAGTACCTCGACATCCCGTTTCAGTTTCTCCAAAAAGTTCTTTTTACTCTCCTCTCCCACATGCAACTTCTGCCCTTCGTTGAGGAAGTCATTGTCTTTGAATGTTGGCAAGTCCTTGGCCTGGGAGAGCAATAACAGTGTTAGGGTGGGTAGGCCTGACTCATACACCCTGAGAGTAATCTGCTAGGGCAATGGTACAGGAAACAGAAGGGTCTTCAGCATACCTGCCAATCAACAGTCTGACACAGAAGGTTACAGTCCCAGGGTCTGGGCAGGCAGGAAGGCAAGTATGTGACATATACTAGATGATATGGACCGACCAAAGCCTTCTTTCCTGCTGAGCCTGGAGTCCTGCCTCAGGGCTCAGGCAGCCACCAACTGATCCAAGATGGACTATGAGATGGAAATGAACTCCTATCCTTCAGGACTAGGAAGAATCTAATAAGGGCGAAGGTAAAGGACTAGAGACCAAGCCTGGGCACAGGCTGAGGGCAGGAGGGTGTCTGTGACTGAGGAGTTCATGTTGACAGGTCACATGTCTGAGGGAGCTGGACTAGGGGCTGAGATGGGGAAGGGACAGGAGGGCCAACAGAAACGTTTCTGGTTCTAAGCAACCCACTCCAGACTTGATCAGCAGTGGTCTTAGCGTACCTTCTCCTTGTCACTTGCTTCTCTGGCAACAGTAGAACCCTGAAAGGAATAAAAGCCATCAGGAAAAGTGCCCCAACCCAAATTCATTGCTGTTGAATCAATTCTAATTCATAGCGACCCTACAGGACAGAGGAAAATTGGCCCATAGGGTTTCCAAGGCTGTAATCTTTATGGAAGTAGATTGCCACATCTTTCTCCCATGCAGTAGTTGGTGGGGTCAAACTGCTGACCTTTCAGTTAGCAGCTGAGCACTTAACCATTGCATCACCGGGGCTCCTAGTTGAAGCACAGTTGAGGCAAATTCCATGGATTGAGAAAACACACACCAGTCTTTGAGGAGCGCCAGCTGGTGAAATAGAGCAGGCTGATTAGATTGCTAGAGGGGCCAGGAGGTAGCAACTTGTTCATTTACTCAGTCACAGAGCATTTACTTAAAGAGCTCTATGTGCAAGATCTGGTAGCATAGTACCTAAGGCACTTGACTGCTAACCAGAAGGCTGGCAGTTCAAACCCACCAGCCACTCCTCAGAAGGAGGATGGGGCAATCTACTTCCGTAGTGATACTGCCTCGGAAACCCCAGGAGGGGTCGTTGTGAGTCAGATCTGACTCGATGGCACATACAACAACAACATGTGCAAGATACATGTTAGGTGCTCAGGAAACAGGACTGCACTGGAGAGATTCAGTCCCTGTTCTTAAGGAACTTTCCTCCTCCTAACTAAGGAGACAGACATTAAGAAATAATCACACAATTAATTCATTATGGTGGTAATGCTAAGCATAACAAGGGAGTCCCCAGGTGGTGCAAACAGTTAATGTGCTTGGCTGCTAATCAAAAGGCTGAAGGTTCAAGTCTATCCTGCGGTACCTTGGAAGAAAGGCCTGGCAATCTACTTCTGGAAAATCAGTGATTGAAAACCCTATGGAGCACAGTTATATCCTGCTATACGTGGGTCGTCTTGAGTTAGAATCAACTTAATGGCAACTGGTAAGCAGTACAAGGAAGAAGACAGGATACTGTGTTTGCAAAGGAAATGTGGGAATCCTAACCCCGACACAAGTGGGTGTGATCCCACTGGGAACAGGGCTTTCTTTGTCATATTAATGAGGCCATACTGGAGAAGGATGTAACTTAAGCCAATCTCTCTTGAGATTGTAAAAGCAGCAGGTAAGACACAGAAGCAAGCAAGCACAGATGCAGGGAAGATCCACACCACATGAAGATCACCAAGGAGCCAAGGCACAGAAGCTGAAGAGACCAGGACTTTCCCTCAGAGCTGGTGCCCTGAATTCAGATTTCTAGCCTCTTAGACTGAGAAAATAAATTTCTGCTTCTTAATGCTATCCACTTGTGGTATTTCTGTTATAATAGCACTAGGTAACTAAGCCTTAGAACAGATAACATGTGGACCTGGTCTGGACTGGAGAGGGGCAGTGGCCAAGGACTACTTCCTGGAAGAAGTGATATTTGAGCTGAGCTCAGAAGGGTAAGTAGGAGTTATATGACAGAAGGTAGGGGTGGGGAAGGCTGCAAGGGGAGGGGCAGGGCTGTTGAGTCAATTCCAACTCATATTCCAGGCAGCAAACACAAACGTGTGAAAATCCTGGGGAGGAGAGGGAGCACAGGCACCGCGGGAATGGCCAGGAAACCCACCGCCAGCTGCAGCACGGAGCACGGGGGAGAGTGGCCCAAGGGGAAGCGGGGCAGGAGCAGTTCCTTAGTTTGAGGGCAGTGGAGCGTTGTGGTTCAGAGTCACAAGTGTGTCCCTTCATGCCCAGAGACACACTTGTGCTATCAATCAACAGGGGCCTGGATGGATGCCAGCGTGAGTGCATCAGCACAGCCTGTCCCCATACTGCTACCTTTGGTGTACACATCCAACTGACAGGAGTTGAGGGCATCAACTGTTACATAAATATGGTACATTTAGGGTTTAAATAGCCTCTTGTCACTGTTACTTGGACTTCAAACAGCCTTTGGTCCACAGGAAATATCAACTCCAGGGACACCTATCCATTCCAAAACTATGGCTCCCAAAAACAAAACAAAATAAAACTATGGCTCCCAGTTATGTGGGAATTGGGGCAGTGGCCCCTCCAAACCTCAGGTGGAGGACAGTACAGAGTTGGGAAACCAAGAGCCTTTTACCTTGAGGTCATACTTGCGATGTACAGTGAGCCGATGGCTGAACACATTCCTTGTAACCACCATATAGGTCTCCACACCATCCACAGTCAGGCGGTACATGCCCAGGAACTGTGGCAAAAGGGTGTTGCCATGACACTCCACTATGAACTAGAATGGAAGGAGAAGAGGAAAGGATAAGGAACGTATGTAGGTGCTAGAGATGGGTGGGGTCTCCCCAGTCTGAAATACTCTCCGGCTCCTTGAAATGCTAACTTCCAGACCAGTGTTTTTCATAGTGGATCCTCTGGCACAACAGGGTGTGATGGTGAATATTACATGTCAACCTGGTGAGGCTATGATTCGCAGTATCATGTAACTATCCCCCATTTTGTGATCTGAAGTAAGTAGAGTTTCCTTGGGGCATGTGGCCTACATCCAATATGTATGGACATCGTGGCAGAGCTTGCTAGCTCTTGATCCTGCATCCAACTCATCATGTCTGACCTCTGAGTCTTGGGACATGAGTAGCAGCTTGCTGCCTGACCTGTACGTTCTGGGATCCATCTGCTCCTGCAACCTGCAAGCCAGCAGCCTTCTGTGTGACTCGCTGATGTTTGGATTCATCTGCTCCTGCAACCACATGAGTCAGGAGAAGACTCCAGCCTAATGCCTGACCCATCAATTTGGGACTTGACAGCACCTACAACTGTGTGAGCCATTTCCTTGAAAGAAATCTCTCCATATATATTTATAGGAGCCCTGGTGGCACAGTGTTTAAAGTGTTCAGCTGCTAACTAAAAGGTTTGTGGTTCAAACTCATCAGCCACTCTGTGGGAGAAAGTTGCTAACAGTCTGCTTCCACAAAGATTTACAGTGTTGGAAACCCTCTGAGGCAGTTTTACTCTGTCCTGTAGCCTCGCTATGAGTCAGAATCGACTTACATATTTTGGGTTTATGTATCTGTATGTACATATATATATATACACACACACTTCACTGGGTTTGCTCTTCTAGAGAACCTACAAGAGCTCCTCAGTGATACGACAGGTAAGAGCCATCCTCCCCTTTACCACCAGCTGGCATGGCACAGAGAAAGGTAAGCTCAGCAGGCAGTACAGAGCCCCTTTGGTTTCATATTACTCAGATTCCATCTATGAATTTGTTTGAAATAGGATTTGACCACAGGGGAAAAAAAAAAAAAAAATCAACCGATCCAGGCCTTGCTTCTCCCCTGCTGGGCAGCAATGCAAGCCAAAGGCAGCAAGGAGATACAGGAGCAAGATAGTGATTTACCTGCCTGGGAAGACAGAATGGCTCTCCACACCAAAAACTTCCCAGGCTACACCCCAGTGCTTTCTGCAATAATTCCAGACCAGAAGTTCCCCACACCACTTCTCAGGTGCCCCAGAAACAAATCAGCTTCTCTGAAGACTCAGAGCAGGCTTATGACAGGCACTCAGATGGTGCCACACTAGTGTCTGCTTTCCCCACAGACAGGTTCCAGATGAGCGGAGAGAAGGAATGGGGAAAGCAGCAAACCTGCCGAGCTGATAGGGCCTCCTTCAGAAGGAATGAAGCAAGTGCCAGAGTTTGAAAACATCCCAACTCTGATAGAACAGCTATTCAGCTGGGACTGAGTCAGCAATGTGCTTTCATTTCTCCTTTTTTCTTTTTCACAAAGCAGGCATTTCACCTTACAGATCAAAGGTGTCAGGGAAGGCCAACTGCTTGGTTATTAGGAGGCATCTGCATTACCAGAGGAGCTAAGGTGGTGCAGTGGTTAAGGCATTTAGCTGCTAACCAAAAGATTGATGGTTCGAACCCACCAACCATTCCACAGGAGAAAGATGAGGCAGTCTGCTTTTGTAAAGATTTACAACCTTGGAAACCTACGGGGCAGTTCTACTCTGTCCATCAGACCAACAGAGTTGCTATAAATTGGAATCGACTTGATGGCAGTAGGTTTTGGTTTGGTTTGGCCATTGCCAGAGGGCAAATCCCTCCCTAAGAACCTCCACTTGGGGTTCTACTCCCCCTTTGCCAGCCCATCCTCTCTACTGCCCAGGCTTGGGACTCACCATACCTGGTGGTATTTCTTTAGGATATTATGCATCTCAGCCACATCCTCACTTGACACAGTCTTGATGACAAAGCGCCGGTCATACGTGGTGAGGAAGCGTGTGCCACATCGGCCCTGGCTGTCACTGTTGATGGGGGCGCTGCGTGTCACTGAATTCTGAGGGACCAAGACAAAAGCAGACTGGTCTTGGGAGGGGAACAAGAGTGCTGACTTACTCTGAGTCTTCTCTTATGGGCAGGATTGCTTTAAAGCCAAAAGTACTGAGATGGGGGATTCTCAGATGGGACCTTATCCACCCTTTTCTCATGGGAAGTTCACATCCCTCCCAAAAATCTTCTACAAGAGTGGCAAGAGCTGTTCTTTACCACATGCTCCTAACCCCAGCCTGGATGTGAACAAGCTTCCTTTCACTCTGATCCCAGGGCACTGCCCTGCAAACTAAAACTCTGCCTAGATGTTGGGGCATTAGGTTCTACTGCTGACCTTCACATGTACTGTAATCTCAGGTGAGACATTTAATGCCTCTATGCTTAAGTTTCCTCAACTGGAATGCAAGGAGGTAGGTGGAGCTAATTTCCCTGGTTCCCCGGGAGTAACAAAGCAGCAGCTTAGGAAATATTTAAGAGATCCACAATAAAGGAAGCAACAGACAGACATCTCTTTCCTGTACAGGCCCTGATACCGGGAAATTCTTCCCTCAGGGGGAAGGTGTACCTCATCTCTTTGCAGACACCTTTCCCTTACCTTAGCCTTGGGCTTGTCTATGCAGGGCTATGAGGCAGTTTGGGGGAGCTTTTCTGGTTCTGTCCCTGCTCTTCCTCAAGGCCCCATTCCATTAGGATCAGAGAACAGAAGCCTCAAGAGGGAGGGTAGGGGAAGGTGTGTAAACCAAAGGGATGTGTTCATCAAGCATACGCCATGAGACCTTTGGGAGGCAAGGCAGAGGGAGAGACCCCAAATGTCCCTGCTGAAGAAATGCCTCCTCTCCAAGCCCTCCCCCCTTGCTTCCTTAGGCTCCTGCTCTTCCTAAAACCTTCCCAAAACCTGGCAGAGAAGAAACATCTGAAGTGTGTGTGTGTGTGTGTGTGTGTGTGTCAGGGGGGTGCTCTGAGAACTCCTCACAAAGGGGCTAAATTATAGGAGCAACCCCCTTCCCCAACAGGGTGTTCTCCAAACAGAGTGCTGGGTAGGCAGTATAACTGAGTGTCTCTCTCTCCTAGCCTGGCCCTTCTACCAGGAAGATTTACATGCTACAAGCCCAACTGGAAAGTATGGTTCTATCCCCATAGCATTTTCTAACTCTACAAACCACTGGTAGCTCAAGAGCATAGTGTCTCCTCCCTGCCCCCATTTAGGAAGTGAACACAGTCAACTGCTCAGAGGCTTAGAGAAGTAGAGCACAAACACTGAGAAGATGTGGTTAAATGGGCAAGCAGAGGGGAAGAAGCCATAGAGGAGGAAAGAAGTTCAAGCAACTTGGAGTTCCAACAGTGGTGAGAAGTCTTCAGAAAACCTCAAACTCCAATCAGGTCGTGGAGGAACTTCCCAATACCTCTCAGACACAGGAATCTAAACGTTCAAGTCCCTGGCATTCTCCTCCTTCTCCCATATCTCCATCTCGAGGACAAGGACAAAATACCTGTAAATGGAGGTCCTCCAGAGTAGGACAGAAAGGGGAAGGAGATTCCCAGGCCAGGCCCATTCTGCTTCTTGTGGACGGACTACTCTGTCAAAGGTTTACTGGGAGTGGAGTGGGAGCAATTAATGGGAATATTTAAAAAGATGTGGGCATCAATTTTAGATTTCACTAGTCTGTGCACTTTTCCCCACAGATAACTGAAAGTCAAGTTATATTTCTTATTGTTATAAAGGTGAAAAAGAAAGTTCTCCCACCTTCATCACCAGACTATCTGCCAGAAGAAGAAGGTCTAAGGAGAGGTACTAGGTGGAGAAGTAACAGAAACCATGAACTGTGAGTCAGGCTATAATTTACTTGACACTGGGATTGGTTCCACCCAATAAACCAACAGCTTCTGGTTCTATCGATCCAGTCTTATGACATCACCATCCCCTGTAGGGAGCAGCTGTCCTGCCATGCCTATCCCCCCCTCCCATCACCAGGATAGGGGACAAGTTCAGGAGGTGACACTCATACCTGGCAAGAGGTTACACTACCCTTGAAGTCTTCCTTTTCTAATCTGTCTTATCTGCTTTAAGAGGCCTCATCTTTTGCTGGCAACAATTCTTTTAAGTCAAACTATGAAGGAGAAGGGTTCTTCAGCCTAGACTGGGAATGTCAGACTAAATTGAAGCAGCTTCCACAGACTCCTGTCCCTCCCACCACTCTCCCTCCCATGGAGAGAAGTTTGAGCTTGTGAGGCATCATCAGAACCACTTCTGAGGCCCTTGCCCCTCCAAGAGCCCACCATATTCTGCAGAGAGACTACCTGGGGCTGGAGCTGATCATGACAAGAAGACACAGCAAGAGAATGGCAGATACTTCTTTTTTCTACTTGTCCTGTGGCTTCCTGACCCCATCCCACTCCCTAGTCCCTCCAATTTTGCACAGACATCCCCCATACCTGGTAATCCTGATCATCAATCCCAAACCTCTCCCGGAGATTTCGGAACACCATGGGACAGTACTCCTTAAATTTAAAGCGACTGGGGAGGTTCTCCCTAGGGAAAAGCAGAGAAATATCTTTGTGAACTTCTCACTCATCTGAATTCTTACATCAGAATTTCACAAAGTGTAGGCCACAGAACACCCGGATCTGGGAAGCCTGCAATGCTTTCTGGGCCCCAGAAATTCTGGAGGTGGATCTGGGAATCTACATTTTTTAAACACACTCCAGGAGTTGCTGAAATATATCCAAGTTTTAAAACTTTATACTTGTTGTGTTCACTTTGGGGGGCACAACTGTTTCATGCTCAGCTACCACTGCAAGGTTGGCAGTTTGAGTCCATTAAGAGATTCCCTGGGCGAAAGGCCTGGAGGTCTACTTTTGAAAAGCCACAGGCACTGCAACCTTATGAAGCACAGTTCTTTGACACACACACACGGGGTCACCACGAATTGGAAACTACTCTGCGGCAATTGGTTTGTGGATGTGTGTCCACTTTATAAAATTAATCTAGCTATGTGGTGTACTTTTCTGTGTGCATGTCGGCCTTCAATAAAACTGCCATTAAAGAAAAAAAGCCTCACCTGCTGAGAAGCAACACTGGGCATAGACCCCCAGCCCACAGCACTGTTAACTTGCTATAGGTGGGTGAGGGGGTGCTGCATATGAACATTTGCTCACAGTAGCCTGATTGCTAACTTGAAAGACTTTTCTCAACAAAGGGCCCCTCTCCTCCAGGGATGTTCCTATCGTAACAACTTGAAGACAGTTGTTTACATCCAGGAAGCTCTGCCCTCAGCTTCCACTAGGATGTAGGAAGAGGGTGTTTGAGACTAAAGAGGTCCTCAGTCAATTGACTAGGATCCCATTTTTTCACAAAGCCTTGTTTGCTGGCTGCTGGCAACAATCTCCACTCTTCCATGTCTTTAGCCAGGCACAGACTCCCAGAAGGGAATCACCTTAAAGTGATTCCAGTGATTCCTCCAAGTCCTCTATCTTTACAATTGCTACTCTGCTTAGGGAAGCCCTTTCAGAAATATGTCTCTCTGGCTCCAGGATAATAGACTTCAAGGAAATGAAAAGAAATGGCCTCTCATGAGGTTTGGGGTCCAGTCTGTCTTATTTATCCTTGTCTTCTAGTAAACAGTAGTCTAATAAATAGCATAAAAACATTTGTTGAAAGGACAAAAGAAATAAAGAAAAGAGAGGTTACGTATCTTTTTTAGGCCAGGATGTTAAGGTGGTGGAACTTCACCAGAGGCCACAGATGCTGCAACAGGCAACAGGTTAACAGGTGTTAACGTGCTTCCATAGCCCTGACCTCTGGGATGGAACTACCTCTGAGACAGAACTACCTCTGAATCAAGGGCTGCCTCTCCTTCCATAGGTGGCCACTTGGCAGCTAAGGAGACAGACAGCTTCTAGAATAAGATGTTATTACTTACTACGGCAGAGAGAAGCCACTAAGGGATGTTCTCCAATCAAGCTTCTCTTCTAGGCTAACAGTGACATGTGGGGATGATGGGACAATAACAAATGGAAAAGGGATTCAAATGCAGAAAGGAGAAGGGTATGAGCAGCAAATGGTTCCTGGGTGACCCATAGCAAAGCCTCCAAAGGGTTTAAAGCAGGCCCTCTGAGTGTGCCAGGTGAGATGGCTGCTGGCACATCTCCAATAAAATCTGAAACAACTTTCAAGACAGCTGTTAATCTAAGAAGTCACAAAGCCCCAAATGGGAAAATCATCTAGTGCCCTTGGGCACCAGGCTCAGCCTGGTGTTCACAAAGACTGGAAAAAATAGCAGCTTGGCTGCATCCCAAGCCAGGAACATGCCCGGCAGCTTCCTGCATCAGACAGAGATCGAGATAGGACCACTGCTGCCAGCTGCATCCTAGATACCTCAGTTCTTGGGCGGCTCACTTCTATTTGAGCTGGCCCTAGATGAATCACCCTGGGCCCAGTCACATGCCCCAAGAGACACTGAAGGAAGGCTGATAAAGGAGTGAGATGACAAGGGGTAGAGACACAAAATGAATGCATTCCTGAGCCAGTTTATCTGCTCTGTGATCCAGGTGTTGCTCTTACGCCCTGCCAGGCGTTGGTTCGGTCCCCATCATGGATGAGGCTGCAGGGCAGTGCTTCAGACTGGTTCATTCTTGTGACCTTCTGTTGAGAGTTTGCATTTCCACCCCAGACACACTGAATCAGAATCTACATTTTACCCAGATCCCCAGGTGATTCTTACTGATACATTCTTATGTATTAGAATCTAAGAATGTCATGTATAAGAATCTAAGAATGTTATGTATAAGAATCTAAGAATGTATTGGTAAGACTCACCGGGGGATCTGGGTAAAATGTAGATTCTGATTCAGTGTGTCTGGGGTGGAAATGCAAATTCTCAGCAGGGGATCAAACCCAAGAAACCTGTTTGCAGCCTTGCTTCACAAGTTCACTGTCTCTGGGAAAGGCCTGCCCACAAAACCTGAACCCACTCAGCCTGCAACTTACTTATTGAAGAGATGATTGTCCACCTTGATCTTGCTGTAGGCTTTGAAGTCATCTGGCATTAGCATGACAGGGACTGGGACATTGCTCAGCTCATTGATCTGCAAAGCAAGAGGAAAGTAAGGTCCTCAGCCAGGAGACTGCTTGCCTCAGAGAGAAATTTTTAAGAGGGGTACAATGCAGATGCCACCATCTTGCCAAAAACATATACAGAAGTTCCCTCCCTCTGAAGGAAGATGGGGCAATCTACTTCCATAGTGATACTCTCTCAGAAACCCAAGGAGGGGTTGCTATGAGTCGTGTCTGACTCGATGGCACATAACAACAACAACAAGTTCCCTCCTGGTCTTAATTTCTGCTGGTCTCTTTAAGGAAGTCCTCAACCTCATCTCTACCTATTTAAATTCTTTCCACCTGATAAGGTCCAGCTCAAAAGGCACCTCTTCCAAGAAGCCTTCTATGATTCTCTAGACCATAAGTGCTCTTTCTCATCTTGGCATTCCTGAAGCATTGTTTGTATCCATGTTTTGATCACCTCACAGCTTACCTTATACTGTAGTTAATACACCTCATAGCCCGGTGACTATAAGCTAGTCTATTACTGATCTTTGTAAAGCAAAGATGATCTGATTTGGGGGCTCCACAGTACTTGGTACCATGACTTGTATATGGCAAGTAATAAGTTATCAAATGCAATAATAAAGGGATGGATGAATAAATATCACTCCACCTAAGTGGGTATTAGGAGCTCTGGTAGCATAGTGCCTAAGGCACTTGACTGCTAACCAGAAGGCTGGAGGTTCAAACCCACCAGCCACTCCTCGGAAGGAAATGGGGCAATCTACTTCCGTAGTGATACTGCCTCGGAAACCTAAGGAGAGGTTGCTGTGAGTCGGGTCGATGGCACATAACAACAACAACAAGTGGGTATTAACTAAGGACTTTGAGTATCTGCATACAAACTGCAGGTTGCTTAAGAAATCAGCTTGGTGCTCACACACACAAAAAAAACCTGAATGGGTTTGTGGGAGTATGTAACTATTATCTCCAAAGTAAAGGATTAAATTTAAAGTGGGGAGAAGAGGTACACATCTGACCACTGGCTCACTCTCTCCTGATACAAGTAGAGTCCAATTCTCACGTTAAGCCTTATGGTGAACTGGGGAAGTTGGGGCAGGAGCCCTGGTGGCGTAGTACCTAAGGCATTTGACTGCTAACCAGAAGTATGGCGGTTCAAACCCACCAGCCATTCCTCAGAAGGAAGACTGGGCAATCCACTTCCATAGAGATACCGCCTTAGAAACCCAAGGTGAGATCACTATGAGTTGGATTTGACTCAACGGCAGTGAGTTTGGTTCGGTTTGGTTTGGTTTGGCTTGGGGGAGTTGGGGCAGGATGCCTTGCCCTTACTGCAAACAATCCTTGTCACTGTCCTTCAGGGAGCTGGATCCTGAGTAGGGAGCTGGGTTTCCATTGGTGTAGAGCTGAGAGGGTGAATGCTCCCCTTCCTCATTCACAATTTAGTCAATTAGTGGTCTGATTAGCCACAGATGTCTTCTCCCATAGCAGCAGAATATATGACGTTTGATCTCAACCTAGCTGCCACCAGTGTATCCAGGATTCAGAGAAGAAATCTTAGCCCTGATTTAATGGATGGGGGCAGGAGGGCACAGCCTGTGTCTCCCAAATACTTTCTTTGCAAATCCTATTATCTCAATGAGGCCCTGTGTGGCAGTGAAGGAATAACCTAAAACCATTAGGACTCCTCCAGGAGCATAAATGGGGGAAATGGCATTTAATTTGCTGCCTCTTTTATGTTCCAAACATTTTTTCTTTAGAAATGTCAGTGAATGGAGGAAGTCCATGCTAATGTAGCCACTGGGCTTGGGGAATCATACCTTCCTCAGGGGGAAACTAAGGAAGGGGTAAGAGTGTGTATGTTCAGGGCCGGGGCGGGGCAGTGGGGTAGTATTACAAGTTAGCAAGGGGGCAGGGACCCAATAAAGTGCTGGCAAAAACTGACTCGTACAGACATGATTACATATTATATGATTCCGTTTGTATGAAACTCCAGAACAGGAATCTACAGTAAGAGAAATCAGGTAAGAGGCTGTCTCGGTTGGGCTATGGGGGAGTACCATAAAGAGACATCAAAGAACTTCTTAGGGACACAGAAATGTTCTTTATGGCGACTAGGGTAATTGTTAGGAGCTCTGGTGGCATAGTGCCTAAGGCATTTGACTGCTAACCAGAAGGCTGGTGGTTCAAACCCACTAGCCACTTCTCAGAAGGAAGGCTGGGCAATCTACTTCCGTAGTGATACCGCCTCGGAGCTATGAGTTGGATCCGACTCAACCACAGTGAGTTAGTGCGATTGTTATTTAGGGTAGGTACATTTTTCAAAACTCATCAGACTGTACATTTAAAACGTGTGCATGTTATAGTATGCAAATTATTTCTCAATAAGTTGATTTTCAAACTTCTAACATCCAGGGCTGTGATGCTTTCCATTGGCCAAACCCTCCCAACAGCTGAAAAAGCAAAACGGGAAAAACCAAAAATCAAAAAGTCAGCAAGCCAGTTCCCATTCCAAGGGATGCTCACAAGAGACCCTGATTGTTAAATCTGTGCCTATGGAGGAAACCATTCCACTCTCTCATTTCCCTGCCAACAGAAGCAATTCATAGTGGTAATCCTACTTCCTATTTCCTGGCATATCAAGCCTGGCTCTGAGAGTTAAAGGGGAAATAGGGACAAAGAGCTCTGAGAGTATGGCTTTACACTAAAACATTATAGTATCTGCTACAAATCCAATCTAGGTTAGCCCAAAATCTAGACTTGGTGCCCAAGTCAGGTATTATTAATGGGGGAACTAGAAGAGACTACAGTACTGGCTTGAGAGGGACTAAGTGTCAGGAAGAATTCTTCTTACAGGAGCTATTCAGGAATGCTCCATGCATTCACTCTCTGTATCCCCTGGTGCAGCATAATGTGAATGGCTAGAAGTTGGTCAGCTTTTAGTACTCACTTTACCTCTATTCTTGATTATGTAACCCATTAGCAGGAAATGCTAACTTGGAAAATACATACCTGAACTAGACAAATTCATATGAATTTACTTCTCATTTCTACTGGGCATATGTAGATGATTCTCTAGGGATTGGCTATATGTTTGTTTGTTTGTTTTCTGTAAAGCTGTGCTATATTTTATAGCCCCAGAGAGGTCTATTTGATTTCAGTTAAACAAATACTTATTGAAATACCTACTATGTATTCCATTATGTGTTAGGTATGTGCATGGGAGGAGTAAGACATAAGGGGGGGGGATGTGTTGTACACACAAAACAAAGAAGGGGCCTTACATTCTCATCAGAGAGATGAGACAAACACACGACACAAGGAAACTCAAAGCAGTATACAGTTAAGTGAGAATACAGGGATACAGACATTGAGAACAGCTGAGGTTCAGAGCTGGGTAAGGTTAGAATGATGAGAGTCAGATTTCTGTGTCCCTCACACATCAAGCACACACAGTGCATCTAATGACACTGGTAGAATCTATGACAGGACCATGTTACACTCCTGCTTAAAAATCTTCATGGCTCCTCATCAAGCTCTGGATAAAGTTTTAACTCCTTGGCCTGGCATTCAAGGCCTTTCATGATCGTCTCTGACTCTGCCAAACTTCTATTCAATTCACTTCTATTCAGTGTACCGAGGACTTTACTGCCAGTGCCATGCTACAAGCTGGGAATAAACTAACAAAACAACACGGTCTCAATTTGGCTGGGAAAACAGACAACAAAAAACTCCAATATGATATGATGTGTGCTGAAATTGAATTTATGTATAAAAGAAGATGGAAAAACTTATCAGAAAATGATCGCTTCTACCTGGGAGTGGCAGTGAACCAGCTGGTTGCTAGAGGAAGCTACAGAGAAATATACTTGAGTAAGGCCTAAGACAGGGGGAGCTCTGGTAGCATAGTGGCTAAGACACTTGCCTGCTAACCAGACAGCTGGCAGTTCAAACCCACCAGCCACTCCTCAGAAGGAAGGTTGGGCAATCCTACTTCCGTAGTGATACTGCCTGGGAAACCCAAGGAGGGGTCACTATGAGTCGGGGCCGACTCGATGGCAAACAACAACAAGGCCTAAGACATAGCTCCCCAAACAGGTGAGAGGAAGGGTATTATTATAGGCTGTAGAAACAGTCACAATCAAGCCTGACAGTTGTGAAAGTACAATGTCCATTTTAGGATGGTGAGTATTGGGGGGAAGGTAGGGTGGCAGGGTAGGGATAGAGCTAACAGGGTGGGAAATAATACTGCAGAGATAGGTGGATGGCCTAGCATATTATAAATATTAATAATAGTCACTTCTATTTATTCAATGCCTCTAAGTGGTTAATGCTTTATGGTATATTATTATATATCCTATACATTATGTATAGGTTGGATAGCTCTGGTTGTGTAGTGGTTAAGGCATTTGGCTGGTAACCAAAAGGCTGAACTCATCAGCTGTTCCACAGAAGAAAGGTGAGGCAGTCTGCTTCTGTAAAGATTTACAGCCTTGGAAATGCAATGGGAGTCATTGTAAGTCGGAATCAACTCGATGGCAGTAAGGATGTATATTCTATTCTGTACTGTTATTTCTAGTACTTAATAATTACATAAGGTATTATTAATATGATTTGCAAAGGGGGTTCAGAGAAGCTGAGTATCTTGCTTGAGATCATACAGATGGTATGTACAGAACCAAGATTTGATCCCAGGCTTGTCTGGTGCCCAAACCTGGACTTTTTATGCTGTGCTGTGCTATGCCACCCTTTCTCTGGAAAGCTACCTTGACTGAGGTCATGTTTTCCATTCCTTGTCTCTATACTAATGATCCTGCAAGGCAAGTCTTATGCCTATTCTACAGAAAATGAAAATGAAGCTCAGAGAAAAAAATTACTACTCCAAAACCATACCACTAAAAAGTGGCAAAGCCTAGACTTGAACTGAAGTTTGTTCACTATGAGAAGTTTAGACTTGACTATGTAGAGAATGGAAAGCCCTCTCAAGTTTTAAGCTAGGAATTCACCTGATCAGATGGGTAAC